CATACCCTTCACAGCGGCACATACCCATATAGCCCATATATGGCAGTACCCCTCCCCCCCCCCGGCGCCGCACCCATGTCCGAGTCGGGGAGTAGAGAAAAGGACTAGAAATGCTGAGAGGCCGATAAGGGACTTAAAATGGGTAGGCTGAGGAAACCTTTCTCACAAAAAGTCTTTATATTTTCGGGTTTATTGAGGGGAAGGTGCCCTGAAGTAAGGGACTACTCGTAGACTATTTTAAAAGTTTACTTTCCGTTGTGTATAATGTAAACTGAATCATCAAGCTTACGAAGAGAAAGCAATATTGGGTTACTCACTCTTGATGCCATAATAAGAGAAGCGTTCCCCAAATTCTGTCAACAGAATTGGCCATGTTGCTTTGGGAAATTTTTGGAACCAATGCTGAAAAAAAGATAACATTTCTGTTAATACATGGATACGTGTCAAACAAGGACAAAAGTTGTAAAATAGAGAACCTTAGTGTTTGAACAACAGTTTCCTGTTTTTTCCTCGTCTTCTTCAGCTGAAAGAGAAAAAAAGTGCTTAGTAATATTTTTTCTTTCTTTTTGGAAAAAACAGGAAAGAATTCATTTAATATATGACTGCCAATGTTAAAAAAATGCAGATCTCAAGCAAAATGTCCTTTTTTCATTTCATTTAGATTTAGACCGAAAGTTCAGGAAGATATCATCGCTAGCTTATGATGGAAATATGGGGCCACGAAAGTACGGAATTTTTAAGAATCGAGCGCCTGAATGAAGTTTTTCTAGGGATTCAGCTGCTGGCGAAGTTGACTGTGTAAACATTGTGTAAGAAGGGCCTTATGGAGTTCTGGCAGTTATGGTTAACGGAAATGTCTTCCGCAGCTGCTCAGGCCGGAGTCATATAGGAGACTAAGCCCTAGCTGAGCAGGCTAGTTAACGGTTAATATTTTGGCGTTACTGCGAGTATCGGTTAATTTCTTTCCTTTACGGTTAACAGATATTTGTAGAGGAAAAATCAATTACTTTGAAAAAGTTGGTTTAGGGTTCTAAGAATCTCTCTCCAGTTCCAGAATAGAATAGCCACAATCAAGTAACGTGAGGCCCTATCAAGAGAAAATACTGCCATCCGATTCAAGCGCTTCACCACCGATATAAAAAGCCTCCGCACAGAACGACATAACTGAAACATTACCTTTCCAACCAGCAAACAATACACCATACAGTCGAGAAGCAAACCTTACCTGTCCGAAGAGGTAAAGCCGCCATTTTCGTACATTGCACTGATTGCAATGGCCATCGATAGTTCCCCATACCGCATGAGGACACTGAATGAGATCTATGAGTTCATTTTGATGCGCTTCCCGTATTTTCGGAGGAATCAGCAGAAGTTGTTGAATTATATTCGCCACAACCTTTCTCTGAATGATTGCTTCATAAAAGTTCCTCGCAACTACTTTGGGACTCCTTTGGCAAGCCAGGAAAGGGAAACAACTGGACCCTGCATCCCGGATCAGGAGACATCTTTGGAAGTGGAAGCTTTCTGCGCACCGCAGCGAAGAGATTGAAATGCCGCCCTTCGCAGAAGCCCAACGAACCTGCTTTTGTGTGCAAAGTGAACTCCAGTCACCATTTCAATCTCTTCGTTGACGGAGTGAACCAACACATTCGGAGCTTCGTTCAAATGTAGCCCGCCACCTCAGGCCGCATGACGAGATTCATACGACTTTGAAATTCACCACAGGGAGGAAGTTTCAATTTCCGGTGTCCTTGTAAAAACCTAATTAGGATTCAATTAATAGCCACTAATCTGTCATGACTTGTGTACTTTGCGTCACTGATGGAAGACGAGCTGAGACGAAAGACAGATACTATTTGTATCACAATGCGATCTCGCGCGAATTTCAAAGCCGGCATGAAAGTGGGGCGTTCGTCGGGAAAAGCATCTTCAGTCTTTGGACCCTCGCTTGCCAAACAAAGGTAATCTCGTACGCAGTATCAGTAACCAAATGGTTTTACCGACAGATATAATTCATGGCAAGTCAAAATTTTATGCTTTTTATGTAGAGATGATGTTTGGAAGTAGCAGGGCCGATTATTTATAGCTATTTATGATTTGGTCGATAGTACAGATAGTACTGGCGCTCGAGTCAACCCATCAAGGTTTGGTTTTTCAAAGAGGAAAGATCATGTTGTTGTCGTTTCAACATTAGCACGAGCCTTTAACTTGCGCCGATGAAATGCAGACGAAAGCGGGTTTAAAGCGATCAAAGAAGGACTAAATTCCTTCCAGCTACTAGAAAATATAGCGGGAAGCGGTCAGAGAAGTCAGAGAAAGCGTTTCGTCGTGCGGAGAAGATCTCGAAAAGGTACTTGGTCGTGGATTAATGAATTAAGGAAATTAAAATGAGGGATTCATTCAAGAAGCAATATCGTACGATTTCCTGACGGTGGCAGATGACCGTCAAGTCAGAAACTCGGGCGTTCACGACGTTGTTGATTATGTAAGCTTAAATGATTTTTATTAAGGGTCGCTGACTGGATTTAGCCTGAACGGTGATGCTCTCCAGCCCATTTCAATTTTCTAAACATCGGCCGAAACTTGGTAAGTCTATTTTGGGTTCCTTTGTATCATCTTCAAATGGATACCTATTATCATTTTAGCGCAAAAACGTTTTAAGGTCGACACTGATCACTCGCGATCGATCATTTCATAAATTCTCAATAACTGCTAATGATGTGAAAGTGTAATGTTCATGGATAATGTTGATGGAGATCACTATTTCTTAAGCCTGATCGCAAACGAGTCAGAGTTCATTTTTGGAAGCGTGGATCGTAGTGGATATTTTCAATTTTATCGAATCCCTTTTAAGAAAACAGGAAAATTTATTTTGCCAAAGCCAGTGGCTACCAACAGTCAGTAAAAGTGAGTAAAATTTCATAAACCAAAAATTGATTTACAGATTAAAGCTTTATTTAATTTTGCACTGATTAGATCTGTGAAGATGATAGTGCATGCCCCGCATTTAGTAAAACCATTTTGGCCTTCCTGATGCAACAGAGCAGCTTAGCCTTTTTAGGCTGTGGCTCTGTGAGAACTTTATTCTCCGGGTGTCTCAGAGGGAACTAAAAACGCGCTTTTAGATATTGTTTGGATCTCTGTCCAGTATTAAGAAAGAAAGTTTGGCCTTCCTGATGCAACAGAGCAGCTTAGCCTCTTTAGGCTGTGGCTCTGTGAGAATTTTTTTCTCCGGGTGTCTCAGAGGGAACTAAAAACGCGCTTTTAGATATTGTTTGAATCTCTGTCCAGCATTAAGAAAAAAAGTTTGGCCTTCCTGATGCAACAACAACAACAACAACAACAATTTATTAAGGTATTTCCATATCTATACATGGCATTACCTATCTAATATTTATGAATAAAGTACAAATATATCATTTATAAATATATAGCAAAATAAAAAGATTATATTCTTTTCTGAAATAACATATCATGTCTGTAACGCATACATTCAAAAACAAAAGCAGCAATTGATCTACAAACAGAGGGATCTATACTATTAAAGAGAAATAAAAGTTTTGAAGTCACATGTAAGTCCTTGAAAAGTGTATATCTATCAGATATGCAACAGAGCAGCTTAGCCTTTTTAGGCTGTGGCTCTGTGAGAATTTTATTCTCCGGGTGTCTCAGAGGGAACTAAAAACTCGCTTCTCAGATATTGTTTGAATCTCCGTCTAGCATTAAGTAAAACGGTTTGGCCTTCCTGATTCAACAGAGCAGCTTAGCCTTTTTAGGCTGTGGCTCTGTGAGAACTTTATTCTCCGGGTGTCTCAGAGGGAACTAAAAACGCGCTTTTGATATTGTTTGAATCTCTGACCAGCATTAAGACAAAAAGTTTGGCCTTCCTGATTCAACAGAGCAGCTTAACCTTTTTAGGCTGTGGCTCTGTGAGAATTTTATTCGCCAGGTATCTCAGAGGGAAGCTTTATTTTTTAGACATTATTTAAATATTGCAAAATTAGTGTTTCGCTTACGTTTGTATTTAACCCCATCCAGATCCAGTGAGGCCTTTAAAACAGCGCGTCAATTTTAAAAGTTTTTTCATAAGGCAGTTTCCGTTTAGCGCTTAGTGTTAGTTCTGCCCTTGAATAAAGTTTCCATTAAAAAAGCCTTGCGTTCAAACATAAAATTAGGGAGATCTTGTAAGCATGAATTGAAATATATGAAATGCGGATGAAGGTATGAAAGTGAACATGATCATCGCATTAAATTCGCAGCCTATTCGGTTGAAAAATAATCTGAAATATTTTGCAGTGTTATAGCAGAAAGTTAGAGGTAATATTATTCATTGTTGGGGAAAATACTCCGCGGATTTAAATTAATAATTTCCTCGATGTTTTAATTCCGGTCGTGTAGTAACCTTTCCGTTAAGGCAGCTTCTAAAACGCACTCGAGAAAACCGCACAGTCTCTGTGAACTCTCACTTTCACTTGCGAGAGAGGCAAAAAGAAAATAGAGTGACATTACTTTCAAACCATTACGGGTTACCTTAGGCCGCGGTTTCGGAAATCATTGGACCTCCAGGCCTCTTTCTTGCTGAGTTAATTTAAGAAAATAATTCCTTTAGTTTTCCAGTCTGCCTTAATGCTATAAATGGGGTTTGATAAAAGCGTTGGTTAAACAGAAAAGGGCTTAATTGTAATATACCGGTTAAATAACTGGCGCTTAGTGTTTAATAAATACAAGTAGACAAAATATACAATGGAAAATTCCCCAGTAAGAAGCGCGTAAAATCACTCTTCTCGAAGTACAATAAATTTTAAGAGAAGCCACTACAGAGGCAAATGCATTCCGGTTCGGCAGAAAGACTTCCAATGCGGCTAATTTGTAGTTGAGTTTTTTGTTGAACCGAAATCTTGTTGACGTACAGGAATTCCGTTGATATGAGAATTTGTCACCTCCAAGTAAATGAGCCGTAAAAAGTTGATTACTTCTACCATAGTTATTAGAGGAGACTGGTTATGAAAAGCGGCAAACATCAATGATAAAAACAACAGTGCTGCAGTTTATGTTCAAAGCACCGTGAAAGTGCACAATCCTTTGTTTGTTTTTTTTGCAAATTGTTACGGAATAAATTAATGCAACGTTTTTATTGGTCAATACAATCAAAATGATAGGAATTCTTTTGAACGTTGTGCACTTTCAGGTCCACAAAAACATATAACAAAGGAGTCTGACGGGTTTCATAACCATTCCACTCAATTAACTATGCTTCCACAGAGCTCCCCTGCTGATGTTCGCCTATTCAATAGGCGAACATCAGCAGGGGTCTATAATTTCAGATCTCTATGAATCTCGTCATCGGAAGGTTCAAACCTAGTCTTGAATTTAGGAAAAAGTGCATGCCATGTTCTATTATCTGACCAAAACATCTGTCCACATCGCCTTTTTGTAAAAACAAAATGTCACTTAGTAACTCTACATCGACGAAATGGTATCTCAGCGATATACTAACAATTCAAAATATCACTTTTAGTTACGCTGTGCAACTTCCATCATGCCTTTGCGGATTTCTACATAAAATTACAATTTTAAATCCTTCTTTAAAATTAGTGCTGCGAAAAGCGTAGATAAAAGGGTTGAAACATAAACTTACAACGAATATAAAATCAGCCACAGCCGTAAGTTGAACGTAAAAACTGACGTCTGTTGTTCCATCTCCTGATGGAATGATTACATAAGAAACTATAGCTGGTGTATAGCCCACAAAAAATCCAATAGTTACCAACATGAACGTGATAACAAGTTTCTTTTTCTCAGATCTCCTTTCTCCATCTGTTTCTGCACACACCGTTTCGGTGAAGTAAAGTCCCCTTATCAAGGTTCCATAGCAGTACATTATGATCGAGAGTTGAATAACAAATACAACCACATTTAAGACCATACAAGCTTTGCTTCCTTGATTTAAGTATAAGGTCCAGGGACCGATACAGGTCTCACGAGTTTCGCTCCATTCTTTAAAGAAAGTTTCCGGAAGACATATAAAAATGCTTGCGATCCAAATGCAAGCGATCGCCTTCTTAACGTTGTCTTCTCTTAAGCGCAGTCCATTTCGGAAAGGCTTCAATAAGGCATGATATCTTTCCACCGCTAGTACAGTTATAGTAAAGTAGGAAACCGTTGTACAAAGTTCAACGAGCTCAACTAACTTGCAAACGAATTTCCAAACTTCAAAGAAATACAACGGCCACAACAAAATGGTAATAATATCACTAGCGGCCATGCTCACCAGAAGATAATTTGTCGGCGTCTGCATCTCCCGTGTTTTGTGAACAATTCGTATTACCAACACATTTCCGACTAATCCAATGACAAGGAACGGGATGCTTGAATAGAATAAGGTATAAGTCAGGTTATAGATTTCATCCATATTGCGTCTCCTTATTAAGTAGCGTTCTAGGTTTTGTCTTAATTGATGGCGTGTATTTTGAGTTTAAAGACTGCAGTTACCTTTGGCCAAAGTCTCCTCGGAAATGTTGAAAAGTCTAACTCGAAGTATTAGAAACTGAATCATTGAATAATGCAATTCTAGAGCTCTGATTGGCTTGGCCATCATGGTATATGAGCCATTATATCATATGATGCTCTCCAAATATGGTAACTGTGGCGTCTGCTTAAAATTAAAAACAAGCTGAAAATCGATACGAGATGATTAAAGCCAACTCATATCCAAAGGGCACTCTTGGAATGACTGTTAAGAGTGAGTCCATGAGTGCACCAGGCAGGTGTGCTACATGCTATCTCTCCGATTTCAATGAAACTTGGCCAGTTTAAAGGTTCTACCCCAAAACTCAAAATGACAAACTGGTTCTTTATTCCGATCTTTATGGTGGGAGATAGCCCACCCAACTGGTTTGATTACATTTTTTAGCAATAAAAGTACATTAATAACAGACAAAAGTAGGAAGCCCTCAGGACAACAGTATATATATTGATACATCATTAACAAATGCAAGGATGTAAGTTTCAGTCAATTTGATTGAAAGCTTGTCAATTACTGGCCTTGAAAATGGGACCACCTTTTTAGCCATTCAAATATTTCTTGATTTTGAGATCAAATATCTCTCCTTGCCAGAAAGCTATAACAATAATTTTGCTACTCGCTGTTTACCAACCCTTTAGTATATAATAAACATAAAAAACATATCTGGGCTCTGCCTTTTTTGGGTGTCAGATGCTACTTGAAAACGGCACCTAAAACAAGCTTATTTCCACTTCTCCTGCCCTATAATTCAGCAATTAACGGCCGCCGAAGTAACTAAACCGACACTCTCCACCCCGTTATACAAGAATAATAATTGAGGACTCTAATGCATGCTTAAAACGTTCAAGATTTTGCGAGAAAATTAAAGATTTCGCACTGATTAGTAATGCATGCCACCAAAATATCGAAGGCAAAATCGTAATGTTTGTGACCTCGTTTTGATTTTCTTGCAAAATCAGATATTATTCTTCTTACGAGTTAAACTATACAGAAGTCCTTCATTCAAGTGTTAATGGTCTTTACTGTGACAAGAACAAGCTGTTTTTCATTTCCTGGGGAGATTTCAAGGCCACATGGCACACGGTTGTTGACAAGCTTTAAATCACGCCAGTCATAAAGGAATGTCAACTTGTACATCTGAAAACAACATTCAATGATGAGAAATTCTTCCTTCTACCGATAAATAAATTACGCTCTTAAAAAGTTCATTAAGTTTTGGCTACAACCTCAGAAAAAGAATAGTATTTCAAAGAAGAATGGTGTTAGTTTTACTTACCACCGTCGACCTACGCCGAGCTATTAGGGACTTTAAGATCTGGGACGCGACGACTTCTAGAACGCGGTGGCTGATAAAGGACTGGACCTGTAGAACGCCGTCGTTTGCGCACGAAAAGTAAAGTTAAGATCTCGGTCGCGATGCAAGACGACGCGGCTGCAAACCGCTCTTTATCAGTCTGATTCTTCGGCGATTCTTTCGCAGAAATAGCCATGGCATCATTTAAGAAAGTCCAAGAAATGCTTTGTTTGTGCTTTGTTCGATAGCGTCACCTCCACTTCTTGGTTGACGCTTCGGTTTGTCATCGCTTTCATCCTCTGATGAACCTCTTTTCTTCGTCTCTGACAGCTTCTCCATCGCTTTTAGTCTAACATCTTTCACTTTAGCCCGATCGTATTGACGTTTTTTGCTAGCTGTTCCCTGTGTTTCCTGTAATTCTGCTTCGCCACTTTCCTCCAACGCGATGATCATATCCAATAGGTTTTCTAGTTCCGTTGGCTCATCGGGAGTTATCCCAGTTGCTTTTTCCTCCGCTAGAAGTTTCTTCTTATGCTTGTAAACAAGGATTCCCACGTGGTCTCGGACTGATCGCTTATCAACCCTGAATTTCGGCACAGTGAATTTGTTCAAGGTGTCTGCTATTTTTCCCACATTCTGCTTCTTTGTGTTGACCCTTTCTTAGTTGTGTAGGGATTTACATTGACGACTTCTCTGCATAGAATGGCTTCATGATCATGAGTCCAAAACATTACCGAACTAAAGGGAAGTATAAAAACACACGAAGTTTAATAAAATAAAATTAAATAATACAGGCTTAAAATTGGCTTTTAGCGGCAGATGAACGCAATAAATCGAGAATTGCAACGGTACAAGAGACGAGAAGAGTGTGCAGAAGACTCCTGCATTCACTATTTGCAGTTTTAGCTCGTGACTTACTTGCAAGCCTCGCTCGAAGTCGAAGTCGAAGGCACTGCCATTTTATAAGCTTCGTACACCTGAAAGAAATTTAAAAATAATCAAAATCCTTCCATCTCTGAGATCTAAAATGTCGCCAGACATTACGTCCAATGATCCTAGGAGGCTGATGTTACATGTTTAGAGGAATATACCATCATTTAATTCAAGCACAGGAACAAATATACTCACGTTTTGTGCAGAACGTCAAACTCGCAAAACCCACGTTCTCGACGCGACGTGGTGACACCAGGACAACGGCTTGAGCATGCGCAACATGTCTCCTCTTTGAAAATCTACTTCCTGTCGCGTCTTACAGCCGTCGCGTCTCGGATCTTAAAGTCCCTATTATGTATGCTGCGTGACCGGCCAATATTTGTTTAGAATCCACTTCTTTGCCTCCAAAAGGCCTTCTGAATATCCTGCTTATCTCCATAACTATATTTATCTCCTCCTATCTTCATTTTTCTTTTAAAATGCAAGTTGTTCGGAGATCTCCGTCACTCTCAATCACCAAGTATTACGTGACAAAAAAGAGCCTGCAATGTTTTGATCAGCGAATTTCCCGCGCCTTCCCCGGCAATTTACATAAATCTAAACAATTTTTGGTTGTCTAGAGAATGAATAAAAATAAACAAAACAAAACGTAACTAAAAAATAGGTATTTACATTTTTGTTTTCGTCTCCCTAAGGTCAAAACTGAGAAACACTAGCCTCAGTATACAGATCCTCCCCCCATTGAAACACGTGATCTTTTTTTACTTAATATTCCTTGTTTACTTCCTGTTTTAAAGCCACAACATTTATTGTCGATTGTTCGTTAAAAAAGGCGTTTATTGTCATTACAGTGATAAAAACAATATATAATATTAAAAGATATATCTTAAATAAAATACACGGTTTACTAAAAAACTATAGCCATCTAATAAAAATACTGTGTACTAAAACTACTGTAAAAAAACATACTAAAACTAATTTTAAAAATGTCTACATTCCTGGCATTAACACTAAAATCATCTAGAAAGGCAGCATCCTTGAGAAAAGGGGATCGGGATCCTCGTACATATGTGTGGACGGATCGTACAAATTCCAAAGATATGTTTGTTTTAAAACTAGAAATGGCACTGGCATGCGACTTGCCGGTTTTTGGGGGAAAGTTTGTCCGCTAGGTAGCCTGCGAACCGCAGACGCATTTCCGGTCGTCGCTTATCCGCTAGGTTGCTTAGAAAAAGCTTGCATTCCTTCCCCATTCCTCCGTTCGTGCCAAAAACTAGGGGGTGGGGGGAGATCCCATTTCCACGTCAATAACTCTTTGTTGGTAATTCCTTTTCTTGTCTTTCTCATACTCCACGGAGATCGATTCTGTGGATTTGTTCTGGTTACACGTTGAGTTCACATGCGTTCGACATACATCGAAGAATGCTGTTTCTCCTCGTGACCAGAACTTCTTGCCTTTATGTCCAGTATAGCCTAAGGGCTTGTGACGGTGGATCTTAGGTTGAATACCTCACTGTCGATCGGTAGGAGGTGGAGCTTTACATCGACATCCTTGCAGACTTTGCTGAGCAGAGATGTGAGAATTTTCTGGATGCCTTCATGTCTTTGTGCAACAAAATCCCCCTTACACAACAGGGCACGGCTTACTGTGAATCGGTCTCCACATGTGGGATCCAATGACCCTCTAGCCATGCCATGGTATGCGATCAACACATCCATCAACTCAGTGTTATACAACTCACTGGTATAAGCTTTTTAGTCAAGAAGGAAAGAAATTTGGCTACCTAGTCAATGGCTCCAAAAGTTGACTGATAGTAAAGCCCAGGTAGCCTGAAGACTCAAGATCTAGCAGACAAGGCCAAGCTGGTGTTTGGAGAGGAGGTCAGAATAACAACGGAAGGTCAACGACACCTGGGAGCAGTCATTGGACCCCAGGAATACAAAGACCAATAATGTAGTGGAAAAGTGGAGGATGGAGGAAAAACATCGAGTTGCTGGCTGAGTTCGTAAAGATTCAACCCATGCTGCCTACGTCGCCTTCACAAAGGGCTACAAATCGAAATTTGCATATTTCATGCGTACAATTGACTCTTTTGAAGACTATGTGGAACCAATGGATGAAGTGATCAACGATATTTTCCTTCCAGTTTTTTGTCAGACGGAACCGCTCCCTGATGAGTTGCGAGAACCATTCCCCATTGCGCCACCACAAGGGGCTCTGGATATACCATACCTGAAAGCTGAAACCTCACAGCAATACGCTGCCTCCAAGTTAATAAGAGCACCACATAAGGCAGCTAGACTTGCTAAGATCAACAGGGCAGGCCAGAGACAATGGCGCAAGCTCGTGGCTCAACGCCGTAGCCCTTAAGCAGCAGGACCTGACATTGAATAAGCAACAATTTAGGGACTTGCTACACTTGCATTACAATCTTGCCGAGCCATTGCACGTGTGGAGATCGATTCACAGTCAGCCACGCCCTGTCGTGTAAGAAGGTGGGTTTTGTTGCACAAAGACATGATGGCATCCAGAACCTTCTCACATCTCTGCTCAGAAAAGTCTGCAACGATGTCAATGTAGAGCCCTACCTCCTACCGATCGACAGTGAGGTATTCAACTTCAAGATCCACCGTCACAAGCCCTGAGGCTATACTGGACATTAAGGGAGGAAGTTTCTGGTCACGAGGAGAAACAGCATTCTTTCATGTATGTCTAACACATGTGAACTCAACGTGTAACCAGAACAAATCCACAGAATCGATCTTCGTGGAGCATGAGAAAGACAAGAAAAGGAATTACAAGCAAAGAGTTATTGACGTGGAAATGGGATCTCCCCCCACCCCCTAGTTTTTGGCACGAACGGAGGAATGGGGAAGGAATGCAAACTTTTTTAAGCAACCTAGCGGATAAGCGACGACCGGAAATGCGTCTGCGGTTCGCAGGCTACCTAGCGGACAAACTTTCCCCCAAAAACCGGCAAGTCGCATGCCAGTGCCATTTCTAGTTTTAAAACAAACATATCTTTTGAAATTTGTACGATCCGTCCACACATATGTACGAGGATCCCGATCCCCTTTTCTCAAGGATGCTGCCTTTCTAGATGATTTTAGTGTTAATGCCAGGAATGTAGACATTTTTAAAATTAGTTTTAGTATGTTTTTTTACAGTAGTTTTAGTACACAGTATTTTTATTAGATGGCTATAGTTTTTTAGTAAACCGTGTATTTTATTTAAGATATATCTTTTAATATTATATATTGTTTTTATCACTGTAATGACAATAAACACCTTTTTAAACGAACAATCGACAATAAATGTTGTGGCTTTAAAACAGGAAGTAAACAAGGAATATTAAGTAAAAAAAGATCACGTGTTTCAACGGGGTGAGGATCTGTATACTGAGGCTAGTGTTTCTCAGTTTTGACCTTAGGGAGACGAAAACAAAAATGTAAATACCTATTTTTTAGTTACGTTTTGTTTTGTGTATTTCTATTCATTCTCTAGACAACCAAAAATTGTTTAGATTGATATATGTTAATTTCTGGGGAAGGCACAGGAAATTCGCTAATCAAAACATTGCAGGCTCTTTTTTGTCACCTAAAACTTAGTGACTGAGAGTGACGGAGATCTTCGAACAACTTGCATTTTAAAAGAAAAATGAAGATAGGAGGAGATAAATATAGTTATAGAGATAAGAAGGACATTCAGAAGGCCTTTTGGAGGCAAAGAAGTGGATTCTAAACAAATATTGGCCGGTCACGCAGCATACATAATAGTTCGGCGTAGGTCGACGGTGGTAAGTAAAACTAACACCATTCTTCTTTGAAATACTATTCTTTTTCTGAGGTTGTAGCCAAAACTTAATGAACTTTTTAAGAGCGTAATTTATTTATCGGTAGAAGGAAGAATTTCTCATCATTGAATGTTGTTTTTAGATGTACAAGTTGACATTCCTTTATGACTGGTATATACTGGCGTGATTTAAAGCTTGTCAACAACCGTGCGGCATGTGGCCTTGAAATCTCCCCAGGAAATGAAAAAAAGCTTGGTCTTGTCACAGTAAAGACCATTAACACTTGAATGAACGACTTCTGTATAGTTTAACTCGTAAGAAGAATAATCTCTGATTTTGCAAGAAAATCAAAACGAGGTCACAAACAGTACGATTTTGCCTTTGATATTTTGGTGGCATGCATTACTAATCAGTGTGAAATCTTTAATTTTCTCGCAAAATCTTGAACGTTTTAAGCATGCATTAGACTCCTCAATTATTATTCTTGTACAACGGGCTGGAAAGTGTCGGTTTAGTAACTTCAGCGGCCGTTGATTGCTGAATTATAGGGCAGGAGAAGTGGAAATAAGCTTGTTTTAGGTCCAGTTTTCGAGTGGCATCTGACGTCCAAAAAGGGTAGAGCCCAAAAATGTTTGTTATCTTTATTATAGACTAAAGGGTTGGTAAACAGGGGGTGGCAAAATTATTGTCATAGCTTTCTGGCAAGGAGAGATATTTGATCTCAAAATCAACAAATATTTGAATGGCTAAAAAGGAGGTCCCATATTCAAGGCCAGTGATTGACAACCTGTCAATCAAATTGACTGAAACTTACATCCTTGCATTTATCAAAGATGTATCAACATATATACAAATCCTCCAGGTAAAAGGTTAAAAACAGTTGTCCTGAGAGCTTCCTACTTTTGCCTGCTATTAATGCACTTTTATTGGTAAAAAATGTAGTTAAACCAGTTGGGTGGGCTATCTCCTACCATAAAGATCCAAACTATGACCCAGTTTGTCATTTTGAGTTTTGGGGTAGACCCATTAAAGGGAACCTCCACTTCAACAAAAAGATAACTTTAAATCACAAGAAATAAATGTTACAGTCAAGTCAATCTAAAATATTTTTAAAGAAAGCGTTTGTATCCGAAAGAAATAACTTTTAGATTCGCCTATTTTTGTTTTCAAATTTTGCGGGCGTCGCCATCTTGAATAATTGTGACGTGTAATGATTGCCCTATTGTTATTAAACAAAAGCTCTTTGTGTCAGAACAACAGAGCAACCATTACACGTCACAATTAGTCAAGATGGCGGCGCCCGCGAAATTTGAAAGTGAAAATAAGCGATTTTAAAATTCACTTTTCCTGATATAAACACTTTTTTAAAGATAAATTTCGAACAAATTTGTTTATCAACATAATTTTATTCGATTTAAACTTATTCTGTAGTAAGAGTGGAGGTTCCCTTTAAACTGGCCAAGTTTCATTGAAATCGGAGAGATAGCATGTAGCACACCTGCCTGGTGCACCCATGGACTCACTCTTAATTAACTAACTCAAGAAAAGGTGTTTATATAACTTATGCAGGTTAATTGTTCTATACCCAACAAATGATTATGTTTCAATATTACGCTTGACATTTTCTGTCTTCATTGATCGACAATGCAACCGGCCCAATTAATACCTACACTCTTTAATTGATGCGACGGGCCGCAATAATTTAATGAGTGCTTGATAGTTCCTAATAGGTTAGTCTTAATAATTTTTCTTGACAGCACCTGTTTATCGAGTTCCTGTTCCGAAAAAAAATTATTTTAAAATCCTAACGGATCTCAATTTTCGAATAAATGTCTTCTTCGTAAATGCAACTTGCACCTGGAAAATTACGTTTCCTAACACGTTCTTCATTTTCTTTAGGTATAGAGCAATGGCAAAGGTCAATTAATTGTGTGTGTGTTCATACACTGTACCATTCTATCTCTTCCTCCCCAAATTTAACTCTCGAATGCCGCCCACGCAGAGTAGCTGCCTTTCAAGTAAACAAGAAACGGCGCCTTTTTTAAGTCAAGCGGCGGCTCCTGCTGTTCAAGTCTAATTGAGGAAGAGTATAAAACACTATGTTTCAGCCATTTCTCAAATTTATTCTAAGTCGTGAACAGTTGCTTTAATTGTTCCTTTTCTTTTCCTTAACTAGTAAAAAAGGAGTTTTTGATAAATGCTACTGGCATAAGTAAGTAAGGCTTATAAGCTGTTATTACAAGACGGCTCTGTTCATTAGTGAACACAGGCGATCGCGAAGTTATAAGTGGTGGCAACTTTATAAGTCTCAATCGTTAGTTATATCTGTTATTCCAGTGAAGCCTCGCCCCAAATGTTACAAATTTGACTATAATGTTAACAGGCGGATAGAATTATTATTATTATTATTATTATTATTATTTTCTTTTTACTATCATTATTTTTATTATCATTATTATTATCATGATTTTTAGTTTTATTTATTTCTTTATTATTTTTTGTAGTCATTTTTAACTTCTTTACTACTTCAAAACATTACAGGCCGGGCCAAAACTTAATGAAATTACAGATACATAACTCCTAAAAAGCACTTTTACCATACGCAGATTTCCTTAAGTTTTCTTCAAAGATTTCACATAGCTTTTTGTACATAACTAGAAAGAAAAGCAAAGCTGTCCTTAACAATTGGATGCGAGTTGACAGTATTATGCAAGAGTATATTTTTTTTAGAAAGAGAGCTAATCAGTTACATGACGTAAATAGTAAGAGTAGCAATTAGTTATTCAGTTCAAAAGCATTGTTCTGTGTTGTAGGTTTCCAGCATAACAACATTCTTGTAAGCCCTTCTCGAAATTTTTTACCACGAAATCCATAAATAATAGGGTTTAGACTTAAACTGGACACGAAAAAAAAATCCGCTACGTCTAGAAAGTCTTCGGTTCTTTCACTTCCTGTTGACAGAAATGTCCAAAAATACAACAGATATGGCGTGTAACACACTACAAACCCCGTAGTGGCAAGGGTTAGAGTTATGACAAGTTTCTTTTTCTGTGATGTTGTCTCTCTGTCGGTTTCTGGGTACACTATGCTACTAAAGTAAAGTCCCTTAATCACGCACCCATAGCAGAAAAACATAACCACCATTTGAATAAGGGTTATGGTGAGATTTATGGCGACGTAAATTTTGCTTGCCTCATTCATCTGTACGGTCCAGGGACCGATACATGTGGAGTTTGTCTCGCTCCATTCTTTTAGAAAGAATTCCGGAAAACCCGTAACGAAACTTGCGATTCAAATACAAGTGATTGCCCGCTTGATGTTATCTTTATTTAACCGCAGTCCTGTTGCGAATGGCTTCAGAATCGCGTGGTATCTTTCCACCGCCAGCACAGTAAGGGTATTGAAGGAAACCATGATGCTGACTTCCGCAAGAGCAACAAACTTGCAAACGAACTTTGCGAATTCGAGGTAGTACACTGGCCACAGCAATATGGTGACGAGGTCACTAACAGCCATACTCACCAGAAGATAATTTGTCGGGGTGTGCATTTCTGGTATCTTATGCACAATTTGTATGACCTAAAGATTTCCAATCAATCCAATGACAAGAAACGGGATCCCCGCGTAAAAAGGGACGTTTTCGGTCTGGTTCATACTTCAGGCCCGAAGTTGGTCAATACGACACAGTTTAAGGTTGTAGAACGCTGACAATCTCACTTATACATCAACATGAGCTTATATAACGTTTCCAGTTTCTTTGCGGGTAAATCATGACAGGCATTGATAGACTTTGCAATTAATATTTAAAAGGCTGGTAATTATTTTCATAACAGTGGCGTTGACGTTTGTCGGGAAAATTAGGAATAATCTGTGGAATGGTTAACACAAAAGTTATTATTGAGCGCCCGCTTAAAGATACAAGGAATATAACAAGCGGTGACTGCAATTAAAAATTTCATCCTTAAAACAGTGGAAAAGAAGTCTGTTAGCAAAAGCCGGAAAATGGGGATTTTTCACAAAAAACGAATTTGAAAAGGTTTAACCCTTTAAACCCTAAATGAAAAGATGAATTCTTATTTGTTGCCCCTATTAATTTCCTACAGAAGTTGTGGGAAGAAAATAATAAAATGTCAAGCAAATTCATCTTGGGTGATCATGTCCATAATTCTCATGACCACTCTGTTTTACAAAGCATTGATATTAGGGACGGACCATTAGAAAACTTATGGGGGGGGGGGGAAGTAAAAAAAAAAAATTCGCGCAAGGGAAAATTAAATGAAAAAAAATTCTTGCAAGCCAATTAACCCTAAGAAATATTCATGCAAGAGCCTGAAAAAAATTCATGCAAGGAATTTGATAACGAAAAAAAATTCCTGCAGCTCGAAAATTCCCCTCCCCCCCCATAACTTTTCTAATGGTCCGTCCCTTACAAGGAGGAGAAACTTGATGCTGATCACTCTTAGGGCTGAAAGGGTTAAAAGGGGATTGTAGCAGACTATAGGTTTGTGTTATTGGGCCCAAAGATCATAAAGTGCAACTAAGTCTGCTTTGTTCTGTAATTATATTTATTCACTTTAAAGCGCTAAGGAAACGCACGCATTGTTATAATTTTGAAACAAAGCTGACTTGACACCATTTTTCTTGGCGGAATTTGGTAATGCGGGAATATCTTTCAAAGATTTGGCAAACTTGACTGCATAGGCGTACGGGCCGGGGGGGGGGGGGGGGGGGCTGCAGCCCCCCCCCAAATTTTGGGCAACTCAGATTTTTTGGGCAGCAAGAGAAAATTTGGGCAAAGGCAGCTTTTAAAGACGTTTTCATGTTTTGTCATTAGTATTTTGAAGAGATAAATATTTTCTATTTTAACCTGAAGTCGGCGTAATAATCAAGTTACATTCACACGAGACAGTGGCTGCCAAGCACGTGATGATTTTCTGTTTATGAGGGAAGGGTTTTTTTAATCGTTGGGCACTGTACTACAATGGGCTATTTCCAATTGTGAATTGATTAGAATAAACTTCCGCCTAACTTTCAAGAATCATCTCCGCTTGTAGAACAGTGTATGGCAGATAGCATCAGCGATTGATCTGAAAGTGAAGAAGTGCCTGACGAATTCTCACTCTGATTTACGAGAAGAATCTTAATTTTTTTAAAAAAATCTATCAAGTGGTTCAAATTATTCACTAATTTGTTAAAGTAGACCGAAATGTTTACAAAACCGTTAACAAGAGCGCCATGATACATACTAATGAAATCCTTGTTTGTAGCAATTGACCAGAATTATCTCTAAAATAACTCACACACATTTTTAAAACGATTGAAGCTATATATTATGAGGTGAAATTGCATGTCAAAAGCGCTTCGTTTTCTACAGATATAACGGCTAAACATCAAGATTTTCCTTGTTTTACTCTATTTCTAACGATAAAAACTTTATCCCAAAATATCCCGATAACGCTCTCACAGATTCCGTTTTAACTTCACAAACATCGAGGCGACTATTGGAGGAAAAAGCTCCCGAGAACGATTTCATAGACCTAGGTAATGGCATCATTTCGTTGCTATGACAACTCCGATGTCATTGCAACCTCGATCATGACAAATTTTCATCTTTATATAATACAACTGTGGTGGCAATTTTTCCAAATGTTTGTTTATAGCAACTTATAGTTTATGCTCAAGCTTGGCAGGTATATATTGACCCTGAAAAACTGTATTGAGGCACTTTCGTATGCCAGTACGGCCTATGTTGTTGCATCGTATGGCCCTTGTGTAAAAATTTGGGCAACTTGCGAGAATTTTTTGGGCAAATGGTTTACCGCCCCCCCTGGCCGAAAATTGCCCGTACGCCTATGCTTGACTGCTTTAAAAACTGTCACGCTGTCATGTTCTTTGCCAATTCATACTGTGATACATTACCACTGCTACCTATGATTAACCAACTCCACTTCCCAATGTCTTTTTGTCAAAGGCTTTTTTCGAATTAAAAACGTCATGTTGCACTTTCTTAAGGCATGCTAAAATCGGCTCGATACTGTTAATTCAAGAGATTTTTATCACTCTTAAACAACGCAAACAGGATACTTTTCAATTCTGTATTTTAATAGTAGGACAAAAAAACAGTACTAATTAATCTTTATGAGTCCCTCAAGCGAAGAATTTACGCATTAGTGGGAAAACTCAAAAACAAATGTTCCTGTTGGTTTCCGGCGGCCATGTTTGGCCATATTTGCGCCGGCCCTGAAAGGGTGTCTAGAAAACTCAGACCTAGAAAACACAGACCATAGACCTCAGACCTAGAAAACCCAGACCTCGAAAACACAGACCTAGAAAACCCAGACCTCGAAAACACAGACCTAGAAAACACAGACCTCGAAAACACAGACCTAGAAAACCCAGACCTCGCAATTTAAAACGAGTCTTAAGACCTACACATTTGATGACAACAGTTTACGCATGGCGCTTATATTCCGTATAGTTTATAGCTACTGGCGTGCCGACTTTGCTTTTTTTTGGTCGTTTGACGTTTATCTATAGCTATTGCTGGACTGAGCAACAAGAAAAGGCAGCAGTCAAACGCAGGCTTCCTTTGTTGGTCTAGGATCCATGATTGCGTGATGGAATGCCCCATTCTTTTTTTTTTATCTTTTCCCTTAAGTGTTGTTTTGCAATATAATTAAAAATGTAAAGCGAAATAAAATATATGGACTGAGTAGTTTTAGTAGTGTGAAGGAGATTATTCGGAAGGCCCTGCAATTTTCGTGAATACATCACACATCATCTTTATTAGCGACTAAACAGCTGACTAAAAATCACAATTACTTGGTACAACCGGAGCGGCAAATTGTAAAACATCAGTAAATGAACAGCAACAACGACAACATTGAAAACCACGAAATTGCAGTCTGTCAGCACTTAAACGGCCGCTTTGCCCATTCTTCAGTGCTGTTTCCATTAAGTTATTTGTTACTTTTGCGTTACTACATTAGTGGAAAAACCATGTTCATAGAAGTAAAGCTGTTGTTCTTTTACTAGTCGTTATAAACAGGAACTGGACTACATCGAAAATATCGCGTCCCAATCCAATGTTAAATAACGACAGATCGCAGGACATTTAAATAATTAGTAAGACAGCGGACGGCTGCATATTCCAGAGAATTAGGCGGCATTAATTTGCTTCTACTTGAGATCCTGAAAACTTTTCATTTAGAACATTCCCATGCAGTCCTTGTAGAGATTGAAATTGTACATAACAGATAACGAAACTGTATCAAAAAACAAAAAATATATGTTAAAATATATGAAATATATAATGATTAACGAAATATAACGAAACTTATCCTTCCATTCAAGTTTTTGTTTCCAATAAACCAAGAAACCATCTGTTATAACCGAGTATACTTGCTCTCAACAGAACTCTTCCGTAGTATATCGTGGATGAAGATTTCATGGTTAAATTGCTTTCTTGGTACATCTTTAAGTGGTTGCTTTAAATCAGTAATTTATGTTTTGTTAGCACTAATTGAGCTTTGTACTAGTGATATCCGGTGACTTACAACGTTCTTCTTGTGGTCATAAATATAGCAGAGACAGAAATCCTTACTACAGTCTCAGACAAAAATAGTTGTTCATGGCGGTTCGGTCACCACATCTTGTACACCAACATTGAGGGGACAAGGAGACCCCAAAGTGTCCCAACCATTTTGACTGAGACTGTAGCTCTTACAGACTTACAGCAAACACATTAGCACTTTCCTACTTCAGTTTTTGTAGACATCAGTTTGGCTTCTGTCATGCTTTTTTTTCTTTTAAAGTTAACGACTTCAGGCGCGGATCTAGGATAAATGCTGACCCATTTCCTAAACAAGCGCCAAAAGCGCAAGCTTCCTGAGGGGGCTCGGGAAACATGCCCCCTGGAATTTGTTTGGATTTTAACTGGTATCAGAAGTTTATATGCCTCTGCTGGTATACAGTAATAATGAAATCTAAGAAATGTTACCAATTAACTAATTTCCGCAAGTGCAAACCATCTTTCTTCAAATCAAGTCGAAGTAGCGCCGGAAGTAGCGCTTTCCGCTTCTAAGTGTATTTCCCTTATCAGGAGGTCAAAGTGCGACCTTTGAAGACGGGAGTTGACCTCAGGGGTATTTGCAGTAATGAGGGATCGTAATATGGAAATCTGCTCTTAACACAAGTGCCATTTACGCAGTAGTACTTTGTCGTGTACTTTGTCGATGGCAGTTTGCGGCCTGGCTCCTTGGGATCTGGATACGACCACTTCTCCTCATGTGACAGTACCACATCGTAAGGTATGATCTTTTTCCGTCTCGGAAATTCAATATGGCACTGTCTACACTCCTTTGCTTTAGGGTTATCCTCTAAAAAAGCAGAGAACTAGAGGCTTGTTGTTGTGGTGTATCTCAGTATATGGCCGCTGGTTTGTGTCGTCTGTGGACTTGGCGCGACTTGGTCTCCAGGGATTTCTGTGACTGCCACCTTTCTTGCCTTGGGCATCCTTTGATGGTTCGATGAGTGCACTCTTAGAAGGAGCCTTACGCCTCGATGTTTTTCGAAGGAAATCTAAATGTTCCTTAATCATACCTGTTTTCTCGGCAACGCTTAAGCTGTGTTTGCAGAGTTTATTGAACTTGTAACAAGAGCAAGCACAAGTTACATGATCACTGTACACTGCGCATTCGTACATCCCTTTCTTGCAATTCTGAGCTCCAACAAGAAATTTCTTTCTTGACGCGACCGTTAACGATGGCATTGTTTGAATGGCGTCTTTGCAATTAAGTAGTGCCTCTGCAGCCTGGACAATGGTATCAACTAAGCCATTTGTCCAGTTCTCCATGGATTTCAATATGCTTGCAACATCAACGGAGAACTCGTTGAACTCGGTTGGCTCAGTGTCGGGTAAATTGGCTATCACTATGGTTTTTCCGTTCAAAGCATCTTCAACAGACAGCCTATTAAATTTGACAACGTAGTCGGCTCGTTGATTTCGGTTCATGTTGAACCATTTTTCCGGAGAAACGGCCAGATGAGCTACGAGGTCTGCGAGTTCGTACTCCTCACTTAACCCACATATGGCTAACTTCAGTTCTTCTTGTTGGTGCATATCTACCTGCTCCCAGACATCTCTTGTAAACTGGAGCTTTGTCAAGTCGACTTTACTTTTGTCGGTTTTTTCCATGGCTTCCTTTTGGCGCGTTAATTTGTTATTGATGCTTTCGGATTGGTTGGTGTAGCTTTTCAAAGGCGTACCTGATGTGTCAAGAGGCATACCAGCCTTGAGTCTTGCTGTAGCTATCATATTATTTTTCATCATTTTCTTACGAGCCTTGATATAGTTCCAAAACTCAGGAGCTTTCCCCCCAGTTAGCTTCTCTTCTTCTTTGTCCAGTGATTCTTTTGCTTCCGTCAAGCGGTTCTTCAAATCTTTTTTGTCTTTCGCATCTAGGATACCGTCTGAGTCGTCACCCTTTCCAAAGACCACTTCAAGAAAGAACTTTTGGTTTTGCTTTTTGTGGATCCCCAGCTTGTGAAGCTTGTCCTTACAGTTTTGGTAAAAATGTCGGAAACATCTTAACCCAGTTGCGTGGCGCATAACCTCTCTTAAGGCTGAGTACAGTGTTTCTTCTCCGTCTGTAATGAATCCCTTTCCCTTATCAGCAAGACTTGGTGTGTTAGAAGCTACAGCGTGGACAATCTTGCTGTAAACACTCTTTTTGCTTGCTGTAGTGGATTGCTGTTGGTCCTACAAAAGCTGGGGCTTTGCCTGTTCTCTTGGATATCAAGAACAAGTGCTTGTACGTGAACGGCGTAACCTCAAATTTTCCAAAGTTAAAGGTGGGGTCGACGCTCATAGGGTGACTTAGTATCTCGGAAGTGCAGAATCAATTCAATTTCAAACGGAAAACTGGTGTCAGGATTTAAGACGCTGAAAAATATCATCCCTAGAGCCCAAACATCGATTGCTTTCATGTCATCCAGGGTTGCTGTGGCTAACTTTCGGCTCTCTAAGACTATTTCTGGTGCCATATACGGTTTTGTCCCACGCTCGATGTTGGATGTTTGTGCGTGAATTATTGCTGATGTCTGAAGTAACTGTGAGCGACTTTCACCAAAATCCGTTAGTTTGCAGACCACTGGTTCAATGTTAAACATATCTTCAAGTTGATCTTTGTTGACCCCTGGTCGCGCGTAATGCTTATTACTTACTAACACATTCCCTGGTTTTAAGTCGCGGTGCACCACGCCACTTGAATGCAAGAAGTCAAGGCCCTCGGCGATATCAATAGCTACCTTGGGAAAAACAGGTAAAAAATGTTTAAAGGCTTCAATGGCTTGTATTCGATCGAGGCAATGCAAAAGGCAAGCAGATCTGAAACCTGAACGTCGAGACCGAATGGCAAAAATCAAAACACTCGTATTCCATCATTATGGCCACCGGTTTGGAACAAACAGCAACAAATTCTGCCACCTTAGGATGCCGTAGATTTTGCAACATCTTCGCCTCCTTTGCTACTAGCTTCAGATTTGAGTCTCCCTCAAAAAAAATCGCTTTACCACCACGGCTTTCTTCTCGGGAATGTAATTCGCCTTCATCACGGACCCGAAACTTCCCTTCCCTATTTCATTCTTGTCAGCAACATCAGCCCATCGAAAACCAGGAATATCGCGAAAGTAACCTTTTGTGAGAGATTGCGCGTCGAGAAGAGGTATCTTGAAAGCCATATTAGGCTTCAAAACAATAATACAGCGCTTAAGGACAGTCACGACCAGTGTTAGAATTTAACCTTGATAGCACATGGCTCTTATCGCCGGTCTCACATGACCCAAAAGCGCGGGAAAATTAGTCACGCGATGGTTCGCGTGACTGAGGAAATGAAAAAAAAAGGTGGAAACCCGATTCAAAACGAAGTGCCAAGACACTTTGGAAGTTTGTTCGTTATATCAAGGGTTCGCTATATAGAACACCTCCATTTAACGAATTTCCCGGAAAACTACCAAAATATCCCTTATATCCAAGTATAGTTAACAATTAATTTACAAAACCCAGCATTTCCGGATCTGAAAAATTATTGTAATAACATTTCAGGACCGAGTACATAGCTACGGCACTAGAAAAACTACAGTACACATACATTTTTTACCTTGATGGTCTGTTTGGCACTCTTTGTTATCACATGCTGACATTTATTCGTTATATCGAGGTAAATTTTACGTTTGCGCTTGTGGATGGTGTTCGTTATAGAGATGTGGATTTCGTTAAATCGAGGTTGTGTTCCATACACTCTCTGTAATTCTGGCCGGGCAGCAGATAGTTTTCGTCATACCGAGGACTTCTTTATATAGATGTTCGTTAGATTCTTTATATAGATGTTCGAGGTTTCACTGTAGTTATCTGATCATCTTGCTCTCGATTTGGTTATTTTCGCACCCTATCTCAGTGGCTAGTTAATGTATCAGAAAGGGGAAATTCCATGTTCTTCAAACCGCAAAGCGGCAAAACTGAAGTAATAATCTATTAATGAGTAACTCTGTTATCTCTACTGTTATATCCCCCACCATGTCTTTTGTTTTGTTGAAGTGTTTGTTTTATCTTTATTTTTGTTCTCATTGAAATCACACGGAATTTTGCTGCCGAGTTTAACATTTATTCACTAAAGTACTGAAAAAATAAAGGGCAAAGCGTTCGTTTTAAAGACAGTGCTGACAAACTGCAATTTCGTTGTTTTTATAGTTGTTGTTGCTCTTCATTCACCCCGATTTTTAGTCAGCTGTTTAGTCGCTAATAAAGATGATGTGTGATGTATTCACGAAAATTGCAGGGCCTTCCGAATAATCTCCTTCACACTACTAAAACTACTCAGTCCATATATTTTATTTCGCTTTACATTTTTAATTATATTGCAAAACAATACTTAAGGGAAAAGATAAAAAAAAAGACTGGGGCATTCCATCACGCAATCATGGATCCTAGACCAACAAAGGAGGCCTGCGTTTGACTGTTGCCTTTTCTTGTTGCTCAGTCCAGCAATAGCTATAGATAAACGTCAAACGACCAAAAAAAAGCAAAGTCGGCACGCCAGTAGCTATAAACTGTACGGAATATAAGCGCCATGCGTAAACTGTTTTCATCAAATGTGTAGGTCGTTTTAAATTGCGAGGTCTGGGTTTTCTAGGTCTGTGTTTTCGAGGTCTGGGTTTTCTAGGTCTGTGTTTTCGAGGTCTGGGTTTTCTAGGTCTGAGGTCTGTGGTCTGTGTTTTCTAGGTCTGAGTTTTCTAGACACCCGCCCTGAAAGGGTCACAAACATGGCGTCTCCAGACAAAGCTTTTTAAATTTGGGTAAAACGTTTTTCTGAATATCTCGATCGCATATGAAATATTGCACAGACCTGATTCTTGGCAAGGCTGTTTGCATATTTATCTTCTTTCATTTTTCAGATTCTAGACTTTCTGTACTAAAAAGTTTCCATTTTTAATTTTGATGACGTGACAGTGAAAACCACCAATTGCGATGGAATTATTACAAATTACGATAGCGTAGTTTATTACAAAGTGCAATGGATAGTTATTACAAACTGCGACAGCTGGTTTATTTCAAAGTGCAACAGACTTAACTACAATTTGTGACGACGGGTATAATTACAAAGTGCGATGATTATGACAGTACACATTAGTTTCCTTTGTAAATGATATACAAATTCATAGATATCTTAACTGCTTAACCAACAACAGGCGCTGAGTGGATATCCGCACACTTTGTTTTCAGATCAGTCGAACGCCAAATTCATAAAAGCTCATTAACTGCTAAGGGTTAGCAAAATCAACATAAAAAAAAGTTGAAAAAACTTGCTTCAGCTAATACAGCTCTTCTGTATACAAATACATGTATTAGAAAGGAGGAAACTCCCCCGCAGACATTCTTAGGCGTGCGTCACGCGTCGCGTGACGCACGCCTAAGAACTAGGGACCTTAAGATCCGAGGACGGCGACGGCAGAAAAAACGTTGCTGAAAAAGTGAGTTCAAGTTCTTTCAATCTTCATGGCGATTACTCCAAGTCACTAACTCTGTCAAATGTTCGCGAACCCTCCGAAAGTTGAATTCCTAAGAACCATATCCAAGTTCAGAAAGAGAGGGGAAATTTCGACGTCGCTTGTGTGCTTCCTCTGTACATCGTGAAATTAGGCATTTTCACGTCGTAGTCTTGCAGTGACCGCAAAGAAATGTACAAAAAAGCGTGATGCACGCGCAAAATTATTGTTTTGCTAATTAAACATATTGTTTTTGTGGTGTCCCCGTTGCCATCGCCGTCGTCGCCCTAATAGGGAGCTTTAGCAACGACGACGGCGACGGCAAAGAGGACGTCAAAAAAGCAATAGGTTTATATTGGCAAAACAACAACTTTGCACGTGCATCACGCTTTTTTGTACATTTCTTTACCGTCCTTGCACGACTACGACGTGAAAATGCCTAATTGCAAGTTTTATGGAGGACGTAAACAAGCAACGACGAATCTCTTTTTCTCTCTCTAAACTTGAGTGCGGTCCTCAAGAAATCAACTCCAGGGAAATTCGCCTACACTTGCCATTTTCAGCAAATTGGAATAAACGCATCCAAGATTAAAAAAAACGGGAATTCATTTTAAAACTGACGTTTTCGCTGCCGTTGCCGTCGTCCATGCTAAAGCTCCCTAATGTCTGCGGGGGAGGCTACGTTGAAATGTAGCCCGCCCACCTGAGCGCTATTCCTCCGCGTATTGCGAGTTCAATTCAGCCCCAACAAGCTGATACGCAAGGAGTTATTCGTCCAACTGCGCGTTATGGATCTTTAGAGATCCCGCAAGAACATTTTGGAGCTTTTCAGCCAGTTCCTCAGGCCTCAAAAGCCCGACGGCGAGGTCTCATGGTTAGAGAGCTTATTGAACAATAAAATGCACTACATGTAACAATAATAATAGTTGTAAAATTATAGCCAAATATATTAATCTTAATTTCAAAAAGAGGAATGAATTACGGTACTGAAAATGTTTAGGTCATTTAGCGCAATAACCGGTTTTTCATAGATCACCGGTAAAAGAGACTGCGAGCAATTTTCTTAGCAAGGACGCGAACCGTCCCCCAATTTGACATCGAGGTTTGCAATCGCTCTGGCTGAGATAACTAGGCGGATTTTTTAAGTAAAGGAGGACTGGTAAAAGGTACACTGAGCCTGACTGATGTAATGTACATAGGAAAGGCGAGAAGTTGCTTTGAAACCTAACTTGTTTACAACTTTTGATATTCACCAGATTATCTCGGCTTTTCGGCGGAGAAGAAGAGTAGTAACGCTAGTTGTACAACCCGGTACCGGGAACCGAAATAGGGGCGATTTTTTTTATAAGATTGACTTTTAAACAGATAAGGGATTAAAAAAAAAAGCCACGCAAAAATACGACAATTAAGAAAGAGCTCATTTTTGAAACTAGACAAAAAGCAAACACCTGGCCGGATTATTGTCATTTCAAGGTTGCTTTGCAAACAAGGATCGAAAAGGGATCTGTGATATGTAATAAATCAACGACGGTCAGCTTAAAACACCACTGACATGATGTCCTACAAAATGGTTTTCCACCAGCGCGGAATTGCTATGGAATCGACTGATAAGATTTTTGGACGTAAATTTAGCTGGAGACTAGCTGTATTTAGTGAAAACAAACAAGTCGAAGAACCTATTCAATGGATGTCATGTGATCTGTTTTTCAACCTGTCATATCTTTTTAGCTTGCTCTTGTATTTGTATTTTTTTAAATATTAAGGGTTTGATTCATAAACTCGATCGGTTATTACAAATAATGCTGAAAGAATAAAGTAACTGGCACACGGTTCCTGTGGCGGAAAAACTGTAGTTGTACATTGTCGCTGTAAGGTCTCCATTAGAAAACCAATAGCGATCTGGTAGTAATGCGCCGGCAGAAATATCCTCTTTGTTGACCGATCAGAAGCGGCTTACGCATATACGGTAGACGCGCCCAGATTGCTTATTTAATTTGTGACGGTATTAAATCATCTGCCGTGTAAATATTCTCCTATCCATCTCCAAAATCTGGCAAGAAATACCTCCTTATACATGGTTTGAGGTAAGGTATTCTAGTTGCAAGTGAAAATCAAAGAAATAATGACAGCCTCCCTTGAGCGAAGCAGGGGGACGATCCCTTAATGATCCCTAAATACTCAGTCCCCATACATAAGTTATGGAAAGCAAATCAAAACTCTTCACATACTTGCCGGCTCGTACTTGATGTTACTCTCCGTGCGGTCTCGTAGCGCAGTCATCGCTGATGATATGACTTCAAATTTCCAACAAGAAACTGTTGCTCACTTCCCGGAAAACTCAATATCTCGGCCCCGCGCGTATTGTTGATAGTCGGAGAAGGTGTCCTTGCCTTGAGACTGCTTGAGAGGCTGTGATGATTTTGCTATGTTTATTATTACTGTCATTCGGAGTGTAATTCGTCCAATCAAATGACAATGCACAAGGGAGGGCTGATTGATGATTAACCCGACACCATTAGCCTTTTTCATTCAGTGAACGCTATTTGAAGGAACAATTCTAGGACTTTTGTAAGAAATTGCCTGTTTTACAGTATTGAGAAGAAAAAGGAAATTGGAACAGTTTAGATATAAAAAGTGAGTTTAAATGCTGTGGCTATATGGCCGGTAACCGGTCAAGGTTTTCAAAACACTAAATGACCGGCAGTCCTATATTCTCAATAAATTTGACAAATAGAAAAAATCCATCTAATCTAAACTATCATACGTCGATTAAGGAAAGTCAAGCGATCCTGAAATGCTTTATAGATCTCAAGTTTAGCGTTTGGTTTACACTGTGCTCTGAAAACGAAACTATGTTTCGTGACACTTACCCCCCGGGGGGGGAGTACTCGATAAATCCCTGGGTGGGGAGGTGCTGCGCGGCCCCTCATACCCTGACCCTTTTTAAGACAAATATCGCTGATTTTCCTACCCTGTTTAAGGCAGAATTCCGATATTTGATACCCTGTTTAAGACATTTAATCAACATTAGAGCTTGTAAACATTTTGCTGTTTATCGTCCAAGAAAAGATATCCTGTTTAAGACAAAAATTGATAAATCGATACCCTGATTAAGACAAAAAATGATAAATTTGATACCCTGTTTAAGACAAAAATCCCGAAAAACATACCCTGGCTGGCCGCACGTCCCCATTAAGCCCTTATAAGGGAGTACCCCCCCCCCCCAGAACTTTTTTCAGCTTCCTTTTTCCGCTTTCCTTTTTCCTCTATCCCCTTACCCGACTTATCTAGGAAAGTTCGAAGCGACTCTGCTAGTAGGACTCTAGCCAAGTAGACCGCCGGTCATTTAGTGTACATGTTACGACAATCTTGACCGGGAGTCGACCTGAAAAAAGTTCTCTAAACAGAAAACATGGTTTCGTTTTCTTATCACAGAGTAAACCACTAACGATAAACTTGAGATCTATAAAGTGTTTCAGGATCGCTTGACTTTTCTTAATCGACATATGATAGTTCAGATTACTTGGATTTTTTCAAATTATCAAATTTATTGAGAATATAGGACTGCCGGTCATTTTAATAGTGTTTTAAAAACATTGACCGGCAGTCGACCTGAAAAAAGTTCTAAGTGTCACAAAACATGGTTTCGTTAGCTGAGCCCAGCGTAAACCAAACGCTAAACTTGAGATCTATAAAGCATTTCAGGATCGCTTGACTTTTCTTAATTAATCTGTATGATAGTTTGGATAGGTTGGGATTCTTAGATAAGTATGTTTTGAAAACCCTGACCAGTTACCGGCGATATTGCCACAACGGAGTTTAAAAGCGATCAGGCCTGGACCACCAGGCGGTCTTCTTCTTCTTACTTCTTTTTTTCGGAAGGGGATCGAAGGGGAGCAATGTAGTCTGATCTATTACCGCAAAACCGCAAACATAAAAACTCGTCAAAAACTAAACTGCAAAAAAGACTAGACTGATTCCTTTTTGGGGGGAATTTTCTTTATTTAGCTGGAAACCGAAGATGAATACCAAGATGCTGATTGAAAACCGAACATTAAGCACAGGAAAAAAGTGTAAGTTTAACAGAACCTTATACAACACACAGTTAATTCAGTTCGCGCGTATTCCTGCTGAATTTGTTGTTCGTTTTATAAGATATCAATATCGCATGAAATTAATGACATTTTCCATAGCTGCTTAGTATCTACTTTTAATATCTCCGTACAGTCTCAGAGTACAATGTTTAGAGTTGTACACAGCATACATTTTAGATAGATAGATAGATAGATAGATAGATAGATAGGCAGATAGACAGATAGATAGACAGACAGACAGACAGACAGACAGACAGACAGACAGACAGATAGATAGATAGATAGATAGATAGATAGATAGATAGATCAGCATTGCTGGTGGGGTCGTGCATACAACAATTAAAAGAAAAATAAGGAGTACTGAAAGCAAATGTACACTTAAAACTTAAAAACTGTTAAAAGTTTTTTCTTGTACAGTATCACCAGGATAAAGCGTTTCATTTTCCCGGAAAATTTCACTTTCTCGTCAAAACAATCACTGACTCAGACAGACTCGGATTAGTTAACTTGAATTTAGCGTTCAGTACAGCGAACGGGGTTATGTTCTGTGAAATTTATCCACAGTCTGCGGCCCACATCACCACTGATCCACGATTTATTTATTTATTTATTTTATTTTCAAGTTCTTTTTAACCGATCCTTGATCCCTGATTTCTCGATTCTCGATCCTCGATCCTGATTTTCCAGTAAACCTTGAAGTTTTGCTCATTAAGATTATTCTTTTTTTTCGACCACTGAAGTGATCAGTTGTTCCAAAATAATCAACGCTTTCAAGCCATAGAATTCTTGGACCAACCCGTTCCGGAAAAGCTCGATATGGTATTTTTATTAACTATGGACATGAAGTGCTGCAAGTAGAGTGTGCGGTTAGTCAAGTTCAAAGCTACCCGTATAAACACATCCGTGACACGTTAGGGTGGATAATCAAATAGAGGTTAGCCTGTTCCAGGCGTTTAGATAGTGGGGAGCGGTGCGAAGTAAAAAGGAGCGCGAAAAAATAAAAGCGAGGGAGGGGGAGAGGTGAGAGAGGGAACACCTCTCTCCCCAGTCCCCCTCTACTTTTTATCGCTTTCTTTACTTCGCACCTCCCTCCACTATCTGAACTCTTGGAACAGGCTAAATAGAGGTAAGACATAAAGTATTGAGATTAAACGTCAAATTAAGCGAGTTTCTACTTTTACGCTTACATAATTGTACGTGCGGCCTTTCATACATTGCCTTTATTTTATTTGCGAACGCAAATTTTACGCACGTGCGCACGTAAAAATTACGTTTCAGTGAATACTTCATATCTCAAGTATTTATGAAGTGCAACACGACTTCACATCGTAACAACTGCGAAAATCTATCAATTAAATACATAAAACAAAGTGAATCTATTTAACCGTACATTTCCTGTAATTGCGACAATATTCTGAGAAAGGTAAAGCCTTAAAAAGCCACAAAATCCTGAGGATTTCCCCGCTATAATATTTTCTCATCCCGCTTGGGGATGTGCCTGCATGTCGTGTATAATTACACGAAAATCAAGGGCCTCCATTCGAGGAAAATTACGTCATTGCCAAACTTACATGCGTCATTTCAGTCATCGCCGAAAATAAACTACATTTTCATCACGAGACTCATTTCCAGACAATGAAAGTCATCACGATTCTTATCCCCAGTTTCCACGGTCTTCGCTAGGAGCGCGGGGCCTACAAACTAGGTCCCACCGAGGAAAAAAAAAACGACTGCAAGCAAGCAAGCAAGCTCGACTAATAAACACCCCTCTGTAACAGACCCAGTGGAATCTATATCTTCATGACCTGATCACTGGGTTCTCGAAGAAAACGTCACTGGGTTGGTTTATTTTCCACTGGGTTTTCCTTGACTTCTTAGTTGCGTACTTCCCATAAAAAAAGCATTTTACCTGTATGAAAACTAAAGAACTAAACGATTTACACTTTTTTATGCGACATTGATTACCTGTACCCTTCGTATTTTCTTTTTCGCAATGATAATAACGTTTTATATTTTTTGCTTCTTTTTTGACAATTATGAACAACGAAATACACTGGTCATGTTGTAGAAGTCATGATAGAAAGTGACCGGGTAAGAAAAAAATAGCCGGGTAGAAGCAAACTTTACACCGAACCCTGGGAACGAGGTTGACTTTTCACCGGGTATCGCCGAGGTTAAATAATCACTCGAATTAGACCACTCACGGTAGGGTTTCACTGGGTCTGTTACAGAAGGGTTTCAATAAGGTATATAGAGTGAATCGAGATGTATACAAAGCCCGCCTTCCCTACTGACGGCAATTCATTTACAACTAGGCCTGGCCCCTATTGTCCCTCCTCCCTGGAATCGAAATTGTGAGTCAAACCAATGAGAATCTAACGTCCTTTTCAAACAGCCTTTGAGAAAAACCAATTTAACGCCCCTGGCATATATTCGTTTATTTGTAGCCCTGCAGTTCATTCAGACCCGGTGTTTAATCAACAAAAGTTGCTATTGCGTTTCTTAAAAGGCCCACGTTCTTTAAATCTATCAAAAGCTTATTACAGGGTTGTGTATAATATCACGAATTAAACACCTGAAAGGCTTTTTTAAAACTTAACCTCTCAGACCCTGTGGCGACTTTTTCATCACAAAATACGGTGAATAGTTAGCAGCTCTCTCTCTCTTACCGTACAGCTTCACCGACGGCGAAGAGGGACCGTTTTGAACTGCCAATGGCAAACAAGAAACAGAGCCTTCTTCCCCTCGCCAAGTGCTTTCAGTTTTATGCATACCGAGGACAGCTACAGTGGGTTCGTGGTCTTGCGCCATTTTTCCAAAAATCTTTCTCCTGTGTTTCTCTTTATCGTTGGCGATTACGTCTGAACGAAATGTAGTTTTGAACAGATGAAGTAGATCCTAATGATTCACTGGTTCGATGGGTTGTTTGAACAGCAGCGCGTTATTCCAATCCAGACGAATGTCATCATATCGTTTATTGAGCGTAGTTACTAAAACAAGAATGGCCTACAATGATCTACAATGAGCTACTATGAGCGAGTTGCTACGAGCTTAAATGAGTTAAAATAAGCCCTACAATGAACTACAATGATCTAAAATGAGCTACTATGAGCTGCTACGAGCTAAAATGAGTTAAAATAAGCCCTACAATGATCTACAATGACCTACAATGATCTACAATGAGCTACTATGAGCTTCTACGAGCTAAAATGAGTTAAAATAAGCCCT